TTGCATTTAATTTACTCTTCATTTCAATCAACGAAACACTCATTAATTTTGTACACATTTTAAACAATAAATATTTAAATTAATTTAAGCTTATTTTAAACTGAATTATTTTAAAACAACACCATTTAAACAAAATATCTGTATGTGAGATATCTGTTCATGTATTTAGACGAGAAAGCATGTAGTTAATGATTGTACAGGACGTGCAGGTATTGTATACATTTACAATACAATATAACCTAGTTTATAAGCCCTGCACTCCAACCCCTACTTACATACCTTTCACATAAATGTAGATAATTTTGTCCTCAAATAACTTTTTGGGTCATAAATACCAATCCCTTTGTCTTAAAAGTTTTATCAAACCTTTTATTTAAATATTTTATTATCTCTTTATTTTCCCCGAAATTCAGTTTATAATTAGATTGAATTTTTAATTTACATTTCAGTAGAGTTTTTATTAATTGATTAAAAGAGGAAATTATACAAAATATAATAAAAATATTGAAATAAACCACAAAAACCTCATAAAAAAATTGACACCAAATCATAATTACAATTCATTTAAACATATTATACAAAAATGCAAAACCAAATCAATTAATACATTACAAAGCAATTCAACTCAATGTTTTTTAACCCTTTTATGTTGAGTTAAGGCCCAGGAATTGCCGAACACTCGGCCGCACGTATCGCACGGCGAGGGCTCCGGTAATAGACGGCCCGCGTAGTGGTTATTCGCCCGATGATAGCCGAGCGACACTTCGGACGCGAACTGTTTGTCGCACTCATCGCACGGAAAGGGCCGCGGCTTTGGCACCGCGTGGACAGACAGCCGGTGCTTATGGTAACGCTTTTCGGTAGTGAACGCGTGTTTCCCACAGATGTCACACTTTAACGGCTCGGCCAACGGCTTCGGGTGAACGGCCAGTCGATGGGCGGCCAGTCCTAAAGCGGTGGCGAAGCCTTTACCGCACGTATCGCACGGGTGGGCAGCGGTAGGGGTGGCGCCGGGCGGCGACGGGTGGTCACTGCGCTCGTGCTGTCGGCGCGAGTTCTTAGTGTCAAAGTGTTGGCTGCACTCTCGGCACGAGTACTGTTGCGGTTGTTTGGTATCACTTGTCGGCCGTTTCCGGCGCTTATATGAACGGATGCGCGGATTTTTTGGCGGCTTCAGCGGACACACGAGCTTATGGGCGACCATATCGTGGCGATTGTCGGCCGTATGACCGCATCGGATGCACGGGAGGTCACAGCCGACTGCCATCAGCGCGATGTGATAGTCCCGCCGGTGGGCCTCCAGTTCCCGTTCGCCGACGTATAGTTTGCCGCAGCCGTCGTAATCTCACGCGTAATACGAGTCCTGATGGACGCCATCGGCGGTCACTTTTGGCCGACTGTCGGCCGACTCCTGTCCACTGTTTTCATCACTACTCGTATCGGAAATACTAATCGTAACAATAAATTAAACCATTATAAATGTGTCGTATCTTAACTGATATAACACTTACTTTACTCGTCTGTGTCCTGATTTGCGGCCAGCGGTCTCTCTATTGACCGCCTGTGTTGGCCGACTGTCATACTCTTCGTGTCCACTGTTTTCATCACTACTCGTATCGGAGACACTATTTGTGACCAAAAAGTAAAATTATGTCATAATTAATGTGTTGTTTATTAACTGTTGTTATGATTAGTGATAATTACTTTGTTAGCGGTTGTGATGTGTGGCCAGCGATGGCCGACATCGGCGGCGGCTCTGTATGTGCGGTGCGTTTGGTCGCCGACAACGCGTCCATCACTTCCGGATCAGTGATTAAATCACTGGAAATATCACTGAAAGTCAGATACGATTACCACATATTTGTTAAGTCATTGTTTGTCACAATCCATACAAACCTATCACTCGATGACATCCAGAAGAATGTGAAGACAACACTCACGAAGACATCACTACTTGTGTCCACACAAACGCAACGATCAATAAATGATTGATAAATAGCACCGAAAATACTGTATTTGTTTACTAAACATATATTGTTTTGTCGCATAAATTACGACTTATTATTAATACAGTGTTTTGAGACCCCTTTCAACGCAAACGTATAGCAAATGCATTACGTTTTGAGTCAATAATATATGACATTATTTATAGTCAATACAGAATATACAGTCGACTTTAGATTATAGTAAACATGTTTAGTAAATTAAAATATCAATTAATTTATTTAATGAATTGTATAAAACAAACTATTAATTACACTTTTACATAATATTAGCTTATTTTAAAATTATTTATATTAACATTAGTAACACTACTGTACTAATTATTATTACTAATAGTATTATTACTGTTACTGTTGGCCAACCAATGTCTGAGTGCAGACTTTTAACCCTTAACCCCGTATTAACGGTCAGTATTGTTCATAAAAGGTTGTGATTTGTACGGCAATAGATTTTTGTGTCCCATTAAGGATTCAATGGCCAAATATGATATCCATTCACTCACGAGTGAAGTTCTTTGCATACAAGTGGCCATTACTTCATATCAGTCCGAGATATACACAACCATTTACAGGGTGTACATTAATCGACTATAACATTTCGAAGTCGAATATCTCGAAAGGTATTCGGTCTAGAAATGCAAATGACATATCAAAATACTCATCAACTGCGGGAGTTTTTGTTATGATATGGTCAATATGCTTGATCTCTTATTATAGAAGTAATCTCAAAACTACTAAATTTTTGCCATTTTGTCCATAGTCTCGCGAATGGTCCATTTTTACAATAATATAGTCACGTGACCAAAAATATTTGTATGTGCAAAATATTTCCGGCTATGGAACTATATATGTGTAAAGTAACAATATTATCACTTCAGCTGTTCCCAAATGGTGATCAAAATCCTACACGCAAAGGTTTTGAATCAACTTTATATATCTGAAATATTTAAAAATCATTAATTAACTAAAAACTACATGCAGCACAATAATCTTGATTACATATTCTTAAACAAGAGCAAAAATAACTTGATACCAATTTCAGGATTTTGCTCAAAAATAATTTGAATTTAACATTTTGTCTATGGACAAAATGGCAAAAATTTGGTAGTTTTGAGATTACTTCTATAATAAAAGGTCAAGCATATTGACAATATCATAACAAAAAGTCCCGCAGTTGATGAGTATTTTTATATATTATTTGAATTTCTAGACCGAATATATTTCGAGATATTCGACTTCAAAATGTTATAGTCGATTAATGTACACCCTATATTTTTATGCATTAATTTACAATTTAAACATAATTTCACCCAAATCGGCCACTTGTAAGCAAAGTACCTAGAACATGTAGTTTTTGATATAAGTTTTATGAACCCAAACACCGATTATTTGTTTTAATTTTCATTACATAAAAGAAACCAATGCTTAATAAATAATAAAACACTTCAATAAACATTTATAATTTTGAATAATATAAAATTTAAAAGTATATTATAATTATTTAAATTGTGTATTGAAATGTCTTTTCAATTCCTGTTTTGTAACAAAGCGTTGATTACAGTTATTATGAATACATTTATTTAAATTATTTAAGTTTAACATTATTATGTCTTTTAATATGTGCTCTTAAATTAGATTCTATGTTAAAGCTTTTGTTACAATCATTGAAATAACAAACAAATGGTTTTTCTCCCGAATGAATGCGCTTGTGTCGAATTAGATCCCCATTTATAGTGAATTTTTTGCCACAATTTTCTTCATTACATTTGA